ACGCCAGGGGAGGGTACAGCCCTGAGGGAGCAGAGGGTGCCAAGGCAGGTAGGCGGCCGCAGGCCGGGAGGCCGTGGTTTCGATGCGGGTGGGGAGCGGCGGCGCTGGCGGGCGCGAGGGCGGGGGCGCGGGCGGTGCCAGGGTGCGGCCAGCGCCCCAGGAACACCTGCCCCCCCCGGGCACCACGTCGCACACTGCTGTGCCCGTTGTTGCAAGCCTGCCGAGCCACAGCCCCCAACTTGACACCGTTCCTCCTTTCCTCCGTTCCTTCTTTCCTCCATTCCCCCAACCCTCCTGCCTCCCTCCCTTCCCGCCCTGCAGCTGCGACCCATTGAGTGGGCCAACATCGTGTTCATATCGGCCAAGACGGGCCAGCGGGTGAAGCGGGTGCTGGACGCGGCGGCGGCGGCCGCCGCCGAGCACCGCCGCCGCATCACCACCAGCACGCTCAACCTGGTGCTCAAGGAGGCGCAGGTGCGTGTGTGTGTGTGTGCGCGCGCGTGTGTGTGTGTGTGCTTGTGTGCATACGTGTGTGCGTGTGCGTGCGTGCGTGTGTGTGTGTGCTTGTGTGCATGCGTGTGTGCGTATATGTGTGTGTGTGTGTGTGCGCATGTGTGTTTAGGCGGCGAGCAGTGGGTGTGGCTCTTTTGGTGTGGGGTGGGCTTTGGCGCGCCGCCGCCGCGATGCCATCACACACGCGCCTGGCGCCTGGCGCCTGCAGGGCTGGCGCATGTCTCCCACCACCGGCAGCGGCCGCCGCGGACGCATCTACTACGGCACGCAGGTGGGTGGTGGTGGTAGTTGGGGTGGGGGTATGTGACCACACACACACACACTCGCACACGCACACTCTCTCTCTTACCCGGCCAGCCCACCCACCTGTCCACACATACCACCACCCGCGCAGGCGGGCACCAAGCCTCCCACCTTTGTGCTCTTCTGCAACGACGCCAAGCTGTTCCCGCCCGACTACAAGAAGTTCATGGAGCGGCAGTTCAGGTGGGGAGGAGAAGAAAGCGCGGGAAAAGAAAGCGCGGGAAAAGAAAGGAAGGAGGGAGCGCCAGCTGGCATGGAGCAGATGCTGCCCTCCATCTACCGGCCTGTCGGTGGGCAAGCAAAGGCGACGACGCTGTCCGCAAGTTGATAGCAGTGCTGACGCCATCTATGGGCCTGGGTACCTGCAGGGAGAATGTGGGCTTCCCCGGCTCGCCGCTGCGCCTGTACTGGAGGGGCAAGCAGGGGCGCATGGAGCTCAGCTGAGCAGGAACGCGGCTGAGGCTGAGCTGGGCCGCTTGGCGGGCTGGGGCTGAGCTCAGGGGAGCGGCGTGCATGGACGGCGCGGCTGGAGCTGCAGAGGCGGCAGCTCAGCGGGTGTGGCAGCCAATGGACACCACATCTGTGCACACAACCGCGCCTGCTGCGCCGCTCTCCATTGTGAGCCCACCGCTGGCCAGAGCGTCAAAGTTTTTGCATTCAATCGCAAACGCATGAACACCTTACTGTGGAAAGGGTACGGATGCACGGCGGGCACGCAGCTGTCGCCGCCTCCCGCAGCAAACAGGGTGGCAGCACCGCACACCGCAATCCGGCGTCTGGCACAGCCCATCCTCGGGAATGTCGCAGCCTGGGCCGATCAACCGGCGCTCCGTGCCCGCCTCCATGCCACGGCTGCCGCGCTGGCGCTGCCACAGCTGTCTCTACCGCCCTCGAGCCGTGTACGCTGCTGGGCTGGTGCTCGCCGCCTCGGGCGTCGCGCATGCAGGTCCTGCACGGAGTCAGATTGCAGGAGCGCACAGGGCAGTTCAGCTCCTCCAGGTGACAGGTACGGGGAGGATTGGCGGGCTGATCGTGCTGATCGTGCTGGCGAGAAGGGGGTGCAGACTGGCAGGCGGCGCTGCCGGCCGGCGCGACGCCTCATATGCATTATTTTCCAGTCGTCTAGAAATCAACTTTGCTTTACAATAACCCATTGATGTGAAGAGTGGTGGCATTGCATGTAAATTATCAATTCCAACTTCAGGAACAGACTAAGGGCTCCCGGCCCGAACTGTGCAGCTGTCGTGCGGCGCTGCCAGGCCCTGGCCAGGCCAGGTCAGGCAGCCCGGGGCTGAAGGCCACTGGGATGGGCATTAGGAAGAAATCATTGCTGGCAGCGAACCGGAAATGATGCCAGGTGATGAGCCCAACTCGCTTGTGCGCTTCCAGCTCGCCGTGCAAATTCAAGGTGGGGCCGTGCATGCTATATATACAATATGTGTGCTACGCATCGCCCAACCCACGCCTCCACACCTGCAGGCTGCACCGGCAGCGGCAAACGGCCGTATGTCATGGCCTGACAAGGCATGCAGCGCAGCTGAAGCTTGGGAAGCAAGATGCGCCGCGTTTGTTCAAAGCCAACCCGTGACGTCACCCCGGCCTCATATGCACTCACCTACTCGCCAGCTTAGCCGCAGCCGGGGATGGTCAGAACGGTACCGGCGGTGATGAGGTCGATGTTGGAAATGTTGTTGGTGGCAGCGAGGTCAGCGACGGTGGAGCCGCACGACTTGGCAATGGCATCCAGCGAGTCGCCCGGCTTGATGGTGTAGCTGGGGCCGCAGGTGCAGCTGGATGATGTTGATGCTGTCTGCAGCAGGAGGCAAACCCCACGCATGGACCGCCACAGGCAACGCGTGGCTATGCAAGCCTGAGCATTCTTGAATCCCAAAGAAAAATGTGCCGCTGCTGCCCATCCACCACTCACTGGGGGAGCAGCTGCAGGCTGTGTAGTAGTTGGGGAATCGGGTGCTTGGGCTGTCGAGCCGGATGCCTGCAACAGCAGGATCAGAGGCAGCCCTCCAGTGCCTGGTGGCTGCGATTTGATTGCTTCGTGACCACCATCATGTGCATGCTGCAAAAGAGGCAGCAGCCCGCCACTACATGCAGCGCACCTGCCCGCCGCTACCGCAGCCGGGGATGGTCAGAACGGTACCGACGGTGATGATGTCGATGTTGGGGATGTTGTTGGTGGCAGCCAGGTCATCGACGGTGGAGCCGCATGACTTGGCAATGGCATCCAGCGAGTCGCCCGGCTTGATGGTGTAGCTGGGGCCGCAGGCGCAGCTCGCATGCAGCTTGCGCCTGTAGGTGAGGGCTGCAGACAGGGGGGCAGGTGCAGAAGAAGGCATGCCCGGCTTTGATGCATGCAGGCAGCAGAAACGTGGTTGCGGTACTTGCTGCGGCACATGGTAATGGCGCACCTTCGGGGACGGAAGCGTAGCACCCCACCTCCATGAGCAATACAAACACCAAAGCAAGCTTGAACATAATTCTCGTTTTCCTGCATACAAGGGAACCATCCGCAGCAAGCAGCGCTTTCAGGTGAGCACTGGCGCCGGCGCTGGTGCCAACCAGTGCCTTCTCATCTCCCTGGCACAAGACCGGTCGACGTCGCTCCCGCGAGGACACCGGGCCGGCTGCTTGCAAACCGTGCAATGGATGCAGCCACAAGCACTGAGGTGACAGCAACGCCACAGTTCAGCAGGCAAGCAGGCCCCACCTTTCTGTCGAAAGTGTTGGCACTCTGCAGAAACGCCCTGGACAAGCAGCAGGCAGCTGGCTTGCGTAGCTGGTGGCTGGGCCTGGAGGAGGCCTGGAGGGTTGGACGTTCAGGTACAAATGGCGAAAGATAGCAAAAACTAGAAGCTTTATAGGAACTGTACCGGACAGGCGGGCCAATCCACCCATCCACCCCGCCACCGGCGCTGTACCGGAGTAGCTATTGTTTTGTTTTCTTGGCGCCTCTTCCGCCCTTCTGAGACACGCTGCTTCACTGTACGCAGCACTGAGTGGCAGAGGGAGTCGGTTGTTGACATTCACCAGCCCTGGACTGCCCAACCCTAGCACATCGGCGCTGTCTCCTGCACCGTTTTTCAAGCTATCGAGTCTCTGCAGCGTGCACTACTGTCAGTAGGTGTGGACAGCAGGCGCAGGGGAGGAGCGCAGCATTTGCGCTGCTGCATGCAACGTATGGTTTGCCTCGCAGCTCAACAGCCACACATTACAATAGAGGAGCAGCAGTGAGCCGGGCTGGGGCCCAGTCGGGCGGCTGGGAGTTGAGGAGGCACCGGCCAGCGCCGACCCCGCAGCGCCAGCTAACCCACCCCTGTCTGCTCGGGCCCAGGTTCCACTGGCACTCATTTGATGCTGATGCTGCGCAGCATCAGGCATGCCCAACGTTGGCCTGCATGCAGGCCATCACAAGATGTGCACGCTTGTTGCACTGTCTATGCTGCTCCTGGGATTGGCTTGCAGCGGGGCGGCCCCTGCAGGTATGATTATGATTGCGAGAGGCCCCAAGGCGTGCGCCTGGGCGCCCTTCACGATGCTTACGCCACTGTGTGCAACAGCAAAATGTAGCGGGGCGGTGTGCTTTAAGATTCGTGGGCGTGCTCCCGTGGCTTACTGGCCGTGTGTGCAGGCAGTCCAGACAGCAGCCTCCAGGACAGGCGCAAGCTGCATGCGAGCTGCGCCTGCGGCCCCAGCTACACCATCAAGCCGGGCGACACCCTGCATGCCATCGCCAAGGCGTGTGGCACCACTATCGGCGACCTGGCTGCCACCAACAACATCCCCGACATCGACGTCATCGTTGCTGGCACCGATCTGACCATCCCCAGCTGCGGTAGTGGCGGGCAGGTGCGCTGCCGCCGCTTTTGCATGCCATCAGTGATAGTGGTCACATTGCAATCAAAACGGAGCCACCAGGCACTGGAGGGCTGCCTCTGATCCTGCTGTTGCAGGCATCCGGCTCGACAACCCAAGCACCCGATTCCCCAACTACTACACAGCCTGCAGCTGCTCCCCCAGTGAGTGGTAGATGGGCAGCAGCGGCACATTTTTCTTTGGGATTCAAGAATGCTCAGGCTTGCATAGCCACGCGTTGCCTGAGGCGGTCCATGCGTGGGGTTTGCCTCCTGCTGCAGACAGCATCCACGTCGTCCAGCTGCACCTGTGGCCCCAGCTACATCATCAAGCAGGGCGACTCGCTGGATGCCATTGCCAAGTCGTGCGGCTCCACCGTCGCTGACCTCGCTGCCACCAACAACATTTCGAACATCGACCTCATCACCGCCGGTGCCGTTCTGACCATCCCCAGCTGCGGTAGTGGCGGGCAGCAGGTGAGGGGCTGGTCGATAAATGAATGGCCGCCGGTGGCGGCAGCGATTGCAACACTTCTCACTCACCAAACAGATGCTTAGTTTTCACCAGACCTGATTTCTGCTCAGCTGCTGTTGCTGCTGCTGCATGCAGGCCCCAAGGGCCCAAGCCGCCGCAACCCCAGCTCCTGCAGTGCCAGCCGCTGCAGCACCCGCGCCTGGGGTTCCAACTCCCAAGCAGCAAGCCCCTACAGCGCCAGCTGCACCACCTGCCCCGCCTGCTGCCCAGGTAAGTGGAAGCGATGACATGGTGGGAGAGGTGGTGCATCCATAGTCAAAAGCTCTGCTTGGCAAATTGGTGCTGCGTCCCGGGTGGGCGGTCCCTGTCCTGTGATGCTCAAAGCCTGCTAGCATGGTGCTATGCATGCTGTCACAGCCGACGACAGGCCCTGCCCCCCAGCCCTTCATCCTCTACTCCACAGACTGGGCAATCTACCGGGGCAGCTCTGACCAAAGTGAGTGTGCGGAATGCTGCCAGCTGCACTACGTGGTGCACACACCATTCCGGCAATGCCGCGCCTAGCGGCAGGCGAGAAATCTCCACATGCTCTGCCCGCACCCTGCAGATGTCCAGCGCCCCGACTGGTGCGCCCAGTACGCCTACTCTCCGTCTCACATCGACCCCTCCGTGCCCACGCACATCAACTTTGCGGTGAGCTGTCCACCCATTGGTGCGGCTGGCAGTGGCCCAAGTGAGCACATGGGCATAGTAGCGCTGATTGACATCAGGCCCTGGCAGACCGCCGTTCCCCGCCGCTGCTTGTACCCACAGTTTGCCATGGTAAACAACGCCACCTTCGAGGTAGAGCACACCGACAAAGCAAAAGACTCTGAGCTGATCCAGGAGCTGCAGGCGCTGAAGCAGGTCGGTGCTGGTGCTGGTGCTGTCGCTGCGGCAGGAGCCCTATTTGCGGTGCTGCTTCAGGCTCCCGCAGATGATGCTGCAGCATCAAACCCTGAACATCTCCCCCATCTGCTGCAGGCCAACCCCAGCCTGAAGACTCTGATCTCCATTGCCGGCTGGAGCTTCAGCACCGGCACCGAGCTCTTCAAGAACCCAGATGGCAGTCCCAACAAGGATGTGGCAGCCATCATGGTGCAGGTAGGTTCCCAGTGCATGTCTGCTGCAGACTGCCAGCATCATGCTTCCAGAGGGCTAGTGCAAAGAAGCGCCTGCAGGTCGCCACCAATCCCGGCAAGCGGGACACCTTCATCCAGTCGGCGGTGCAGTACATGCAGCAGTACGGATTTGATGGCATTGACTTGGACTGGGAGTGAGTGACCCCCCGCCACGCCTGTGCAGCGCACATGCGTGAACGTCGGCTTGCTCTGCCGGCAGCGCTGACGGCGCTGCACTTCAAAGCATGCATAGCATGCACAGCATGCATAACTTCCTACCCATGAATGCAGGTACCCAAACTTTGCTGGCTACAACTGCGAAGGCAGCTGCCCGGACCACATCTCAGGCTTCTCCCAGCTGGTGGCCGGCCTGCGCCAGGCGCTGGGCCCAAGCTACCTGCTCACCGCTGTGCTGCGCGCCACCCCCACCCCGGCAGACCATTACGACCTGCCTGCCATCCACCCGCACCCACACCGGCTCAGCGCCAATCCAAGCCAATTCCTTCGGGAACGCCTAATAGAATCGCCAAGGCTTCGGCACAGGCCTCCCCGGGACCCATTCACTACTAGTGGGGGGTACTGCACTTGGCGCGTCGGGCAGATCAAATAATGGTCTAAAGCTAGACGTTAAAACCGGGAAGTGAAGCTTGTGGAGGCTCTTCCCCACCTTTACCTTTACCTTTTACTTCGACCTCATCAACCTCATGACGTGAGCAGCAAATGCTCACTGTTTACGCCTTCACGCAGAGTTTACGCTTTGAGTGAAAGCAGGAGAAGCCTCCCCTGCCCCGCCTGCTGCCACTGTCAGTGTTGCCATTCCCTGTATGTTGATCTCGTCTGCCTACCCGCCGGTCATGCCCGCAGCTACGACTTCCACGGCGCCTTTGGCAACCCAAAGGTGGTTGATGTGCACACCCCCATCCTGGACTGCGCCTCCCCCAAGCAGTTTCACATCCAGGGTGAGAGCAGAGCTGAGGCATGCGGGGACTGCAGTTGCGTAGGCAGCAGGCCATGCTGCCTCAATGGCAGCAACCCGTGTCACATTGCCCTGCCTGCAGAGGAGCAGGTTGATCATCTGCTGGGCGAGCAAGCTGTGTCACTGAGTTAATGTCGTGCCATGCTTCCGCTCAACATCTGCTCAACTCATCCGCTGAACTGCCACTGGCAGCATCACACCTCTCAATGCTGAAGCCTCCTGGTGGCACCCCCATGCAGGCGCCATTGACGCATACCTGGCGGCAGGCGTGCCTAGCAGCAAGCTGGTTATGGGGCTGGGGTCATATGGGCACAGCTACAAGCTGGCAGCTACAGACGGCACTGCTAACTCCGGCCCTGGCCAGGCCGCCTTCACAGAGGGAGCTCCCGCAGGCAAGCTGGTAGATGAAAGGGCAGGCTTCCCCAGCGCTGAACGCAGCTTGGGCTGTTCATCTTTGCTTCACTTCCTCCCCGGCAGGCGAGTGTACCATCCAGCCGGGGGTGCTGGCCTGGTACGAGATCAAGCGTAAGCTGGGAGGCACCACCCCCAGCATCGACCCAGTAAAGATGGCTGCCTACGCCACCTACGACGCCGGCCAGCACTGGGTGGGGTTTGACAACCAGGAGACGCTGCGGTGAGTGAGGCGCACAGGTGTGCGGCAGCAACGCTGTTGATGGGATTGGCAGGGCCGCGGGCATGTCATCAAGCCCATGCCCAGTCCCTCCTGCCTCTCACTGGGAGGCAATGCTGCACGCAGGATGAAGATCTGCTATGCTCGACAGCGCCAGCTGGGTGAGCACCCAGCAGCGGCCGCGGCACCCCCTCTCTTGATGCCCCTTGATCACGTGTGCCCCCTGCCCAAGGTCTGCTCACGCGGCCTATCATAGCGGGGTGACTGTAACACAGGGCAGCCTGATCGCCGGCAGCTGTTGTACACATGTGCTGCTTGTGTGGGCTTAAAGTCTGGTAAAGCAAGAACTAGCTTGCAACATAGACTACACACATGCACTGGCCTGCACCAAGATGGCGCCTAGTCAGCTCCATGCCAGCTATGCTCATCCCCTTCACTCCTGTGTGCTGCCTGCACCAATGCTCGAACAACGACTGCAAATGTGCAGGTGGGCTGATGATGTGGGATGCTGATTTGGACGATGACTTGGAGCTGGCTCGCAGCGTGCGGGCGCAGATGGATGCACCCCAGTAAAGGTAAAGGTAAAGGTGGGGAAGAGCCTCCACAGGCTTAACTTCCCGGTTTTAACGTCTAGCTTTAGACCATTATTTGATCTGCATGACGCGCCAAGTGCAGTACCCCCCACTAGTAGTGAATGGGTCCCGGGGAGGCCTGTGCCGAAACCTTAGCGATTCTATAAGGCGTTCCCGAAGGAATTGGCTTGGATTGGCGCTGAGCCGGTCAGCTATGCCGCGTTTGTCCTCACAAAGTTTCGACATGGGAGGAATCGAACCTGTGCCCTCTCGGAGGGTTTAGACACTAGCTCCAGCGCCTTCAAAGAAGGCCTTTCTTAGCCGCGGGCAAAAAGCCGCGGGCAGTGCGACGACTTCGTGGCGCCTACCTGTGGCAGCAGCGGCACCGGCTCCAGCGAGCTCACCTTCTCGGCGCAAAGCATCAGCACTAGCGCCGCACTTCCCTTGCTGAGCGAAACCGAGGGGTGCCGTCATGATGCCGGTATGTACGGCCATCAGGGGTCACCCTGTTTTAAAAGGGGCATGCAACCTGCCTCGTGCATGCCGTCAGCGGATACGTCTGCTTCAATTGAAGCTGCATCTCAGCCTGTTTCATGACTGTGAACACCCTGATTGCATTTGGCTTGGATGGTGGTGCGGGGTCTTGAAGCAGTACCCGTGATGTGTTTCTTGTTTGCATTCTTGCTGTACTCAGGCGAGACATGCACCGAGGTAGTCATCTCCGACAAGAAGGTGCCCTTGGGCCGCCTGACGTCGGCAGACGTGATGGCCAAGGCCAAGGAGGCTTGCAGCGCGCTGGGATGCTCAGAAACGCCCATCAAGATTGACACCGAGGTGTGGACGCCAGGCCACCCGTCCGGGTCGGTCTACCAGGCCAAGTGCGACAAAAACCTCTACAGCGGGAATGACCATGCCTGCGGGAAGTTCGTTCCCGGGTCTTGCACCGTCGTTTTCAAGGGCTCCATCACCACTCTGGAGGCCAGGGACGCGCTGATTGAGCTACTTGCAACCGCGGCCGACCTGAACAAGACCCTGCCCTACAAGGAAATATCTCCAATTGACGACAAAGACAAAGGCTGGGGATTCGGAGCTGCGGTGTCTGCCTACCCCTACCGGATCTGGTATTGCACATACTGGTTTGCCAACGCCAACCTACGCCTGTTCAACGACTGTGAGTTCGCGCCAGAGTTCCCAATCAAGGCCATGCCCCGCTTCATCAAGGCGCAGCACTTGCTTGTGTCATATCTATCCATCTTCTGCCTCTGTGATTTCGGGGACCCCCCCCAGTGACGCATCGGTTCGCTGTCGGTGCCCATTCCTTTTTCAGCGCCCCATTCCTGTTTCAGTCATTCAGGCTTTGCTCTCTGCCTCGCCCGCGCGGCCTCAGTTTCCCCTGACTCGGGCGATGCTCGGAGCACCGCCTGCTCGCTGGCACCTGTACCACATGTAGCCGTGCCTCAGCCCCGCTGGCACCTGTGCCACGAATACAGCTTAATAAGAAGACAGTGGTATTAACTTCCTGTGCTTGTGTCCAACCTTTCAGTGTAACGGGGAATCCTGGGATTTAATCATAAGATGCCTGCTGCCGCTCCAGCCCGCCGCAGCGCCCGCCGCCACGTAGGCGACGGCCCCAGCATTCTCCATTTCTGGTGTGGGACTTTCCCATTGCAAACATACCTTTGGGCAGCACAGGGGGGAGCGGGCCCAAGACATGCCAGCCTGAGCGATCGCAAGGGGTTGCTCATCGCACACTGCTCAACGCTCATTGCCCTATATCCCACCCAGCCGCAGGACTCTACTGCCGCCCGCGCCCCGCCCCATCTGGCCGCTTGCGCGCCCCATCCCCCTCGATGGGGCCCGCCCACACCGGGGCCTCCCCCCTCCCGCCCACTGCTTTCTCAACGGCCCCGAGCCGGGGCTGCCCTCATTGCATACATAGTGCGCCTTTCCCTGCTTTTCTAGTGACCTAGCGTTCCGCACTGCCGTTTGGCCAGCCCAACTGCCGTTTGGCCAGATCATGCTCCCGTACCGTTGCGTTTCTCCCCAATGCGCCATGCCACTTTGCCAGTCATACACACGTTTCGATGCGTGCCTTGTCAGCTGCTTGCGTTGCATGTCGCCTTGCTCCACCCCTGTTTTATTGCTTTCTCTGCTTTCGCCCGGTTCCCGTCCCGTTTCGGCGGGGAGTCTATGTTGCAAGCTAGTTCTTGCTTTACCAGACTTTAAGCCCACACAAGCAAGCAAGGGGGACGCAGCGAGCATGGGGCCGGGGGAGAAGCGGCGGGGCAGGGGCTGCGAGCATCTGGGCGCCGTGCGGGAGCAGCAGGCCCGACTGCACGCCAGCCTGCTCCACCACTGGCAGCAGCGTAAGGTGGGGCGATGGAGCCAGGGCTGGAGCCGGGGCGCCCGCTGCAGCACCAGCGTTGTAGATCGTCCCCATCCCCCGGCTGACGCGCGGATGGGTGGCCGCCGCCCCCGCCGCCGCCGCCGCCTGCAGGCCGCCGGCCAGCCGCTGCTGCCGCTGGGCGACGGCCTCCTGTGCCTGGGCTGCGGCGCGCGCTGCGCCTCCCCACTCGAGCACGGCAGCAATGGCGGCGCCGGGCAGGGAGGGTGCACAGGTGGGCGCGCGGCCTCGCCTGCGTGTAAGAGAGCGTGGCGACATTTGCCGCCGCAGCACCGAGCGCCGCCGCCTGCACCCCAATGCCTCCCCACCCGCTGCCTGCCTGCCTGCGCGTGCCTGTGCTGCGGCCCTGCATGCGGCTACTGCTGCTGCCGGTGGGGTGGTGGCTAGCAAGGGAGTGGCGGCAGCAGAGCCGTGGGGGAGGGCCTGGGGCTGGCTGGCGCATTCTAATTTGCTCTTGTTAATCTTCTTGTTGTGCTTGGCCTGCGGTAGGGCTGGTTGGGCCCTCCCAGAGCTCCCCCTGCCTCGAGCAGCGCTGGCAGGGCATGCTGCGGCGCTGCCCGAGGCTACGCCGCCGCCGCACTTCGCCCGCCCCAGCATCCGCCGCCGCGCCGCTGGCCTGCTGCCCGCCCCCCGCGCCCTGCTTCACCCCGCCCGCGCCGCCGTCCTGCCGCACCTCATGGCCGCGTCGTACCGCAGGCCACGATGTACTGCTGGACCTGCGGCGTGGTGAGCTGTACTGTACCGCCTGTACCGACTACGTCTACGACAGCAGGCAAGCTGCTGTCGGCCCTGCCTGCCCTGGCTGCTGCGCCCGAGCGGCTGCCGCAGGTTGAGCGTTTAGTGCCGCGCCGGCGCTCTGCTGGGGCCGCTGCCGGACGGTGGCTGCTCCTGCCGGCAGGGCTCGTTGGGGCCTGGCTGCTGCGCCCGACCTGCTGCCGCAGGTTCCGTGCTGCCCGGCTGGGCAGCCTGCGGGGCAGCCCGGCCGCCGCCAGGGCTGCCATGCTCGCGAGGCCTTGTACAGTGCGCTGCTGCATCCTTTCATCACACACGCACATCGCTGCTGGGTGCTCCACACACCACCCCGGCTGCTGCTCGCCAGCCGCGCTCAGCAGGAGGCTCCAAAGCTCCCCCCTGCTGCGCGGCATGCGGCCTGCTTGCCTGCTTTGTTTCCCTCACCCCCGCCCCGCTTTCTTCCCCGCGCCGCGCGTTTGACCGCAGCTTTGACTTGGCGCTCCAGGCAGCCCTGGCCTCCGCCAAGAGTGGCGGCCTGCCCGGCGGCGGCACCGCAGCAGCCACCATGCCGCCAGGAGCAGCAGGCCGCGGCCCCATCGGCAGCGGCGAGGCAGGGCAGGCCGGGGCGCCGCCGCCACCCGGGCAGCCTGCCCACGGCCTTGCCAATGCCCAGCCGCAGGGGCAGGGGCAGGGGCTGGAACAGGAAGACCAGAAGCAGCAGCAGCAGGCGGCTGGCTCGGCAGCCGCACCAGCAGCCGTGCCAGCAGCGGCAGCAGCACCAGCAGTACCAGCAGCAGCGGCGGCGGCGGCGCTGGCAGAGGGCTTCGCTGCGGTGGCGGCCGACGGCTTCCCGGCTGGGCTGCGCGGCCTGAACAACCTGGGCAACACCTGCTTCATGAACAGCGTGCTGCAGGTGGGGGGCAGGGCGGTACCACGTTGTGGTGCATCGTGCAGTACATTGTGCGGTACCGGCACGGGCCCCACCCGCCGCTGCAGCTGCCGCCGCTGGCGCTGCTGGCGCGGGCGCTGGCCCCAGCCAGCGCGGGCTCCCTCCCTGCAGGGGAGCCCAGCTTCCATCCAGCTTCTGGTTGGTTTCCGACCAGCTTCCACCCAACTTCCACCCCCGCCGCCCCGCAGGCCCTCCTCCACTCCCCCCTGCTGCGCAACCACTTCCTGCTTGATGCCCACCCGCGCGCCGCCTGCACCCTGGCCGCCGGCGGGGGCGCCTGCGTGCTGTGCGAACTGGTGAGCAGTGTGTGTTGCTTTCTGCTTGTTGCGTTTTGCTTGCTGCTTGCTGCTTGCTGCTTGCTGCTATTTCTGTTGACAGCCGGCACAGACGCACACAAACCTTGATTTGGCTGCTGGGTGCTGTGTAAGGGCTGCCGGGCCAGCGCTGCCATGTGTTTCTCTTCTTTTATGTGTTTCTCTTCTTTTATTCGTTTGCGGTTTGAGTGCTTCCTTGCGCCTGCGCCGCCTTGGCTGGCTGCACCCGCCGGGCTGCTGCACCGCCGCCCCGCCCCGCTGACCACACACTGTACTGCAACTGTACCTCCATTGTACCGCCTACGTACCGCCGCAGGACGGCGTCTTCAGCGCCGCCTACTCGGGCCGCCGCGCCGCCTACAGCCCCGCCCCTTTCCTCTACGCCTGGTGGCAGCTGGCGGGTAGGTGCCGGGGTCGTTGGTTGGTGCTGAGGCCTTGGTGGGTGCTGGCTGTTTGGTGGGGTGCTGGCTGTTTGGTGGGTGGTGGGTGTTTGGTGGGTGCTGGCAGGCAGCACGGCTGTGGCTGTGGGTGTGCAGGCAGGCTGCCGCTGGTAGGTGGGTGCTGCCAGGTGGGGGCAGGGGCCGCAGGCCTGTTTGGCGGTCGGCGCGTGTGCGACTGGCCGGGCTGGCCTGCCTGCCGCGCAAGCGGCACCGCCCGCAGCCCGCAGGAGGTCGCCTGCTGCCTCCTGCGCCGCCACCGCCTCCTTACCCCTCCCTACCGCCTTGTTGGCCGAAACTCACAACGTTCACCGCGCGTTCTTTCCTCCCTGCCTGGAACGTTGACCGTTGACCACACTCTCCACCCCCCCACCACCACCTGCGCTCACCTCTGTGCCTCCCTCCCTCCCTCCCTCCCTCCCTCCCCTCTCCTCCCTCCCTCCCTGTCCTGCCCCTCTATCTCCCCCCTTCCTCGCCCTCCCCCAGGCGGCCAGCTGGCGGGCTACCAGCAGCAGGACTCCCACGAGTTCCTGTGCTTCACGCTGGAGATGATGGCGGCGGCAGATGGTGTGTGTGTGTGGGGGGGTGGGGGGTGGGGGTTGGGGGGGAGGGTGTGAGGAGGCGGCGGCAGACGGTGAGGGGCAGGGGGAGGGGGTGTGAGGGGGAAGGGGAGGGGGAGGGTGACCTTGAGGCAAAGGGTGACTAGAGGCTGTACAGCGGGCAGCCACCCAAATGGAGCCGGCAGCCAGCGAGAAGCTGCGGTGCCAGGCTGGTGGGGGACGCCGTGGGTCGGCCAGGGCCCAGGCCTCCTCCCCACACGCCCGCCGCCGCAACCGCTGCCTACGAGCTCCCACCAGCTCTGCCCCACGCTGCCCCAATGGTCTGCCTGGCTGCCTCCCCCTCCCCTCCCCCACCCTCCCCCGCAGGCGACCCCGGCGGCCCCGCTGCGGGCGCCGCCGGTACCGCCAGCTTCCCGCCGCCTTCCGCCTGCCTCTCCCGCCGCCTGTTTGGCGGCACGCTGCGCTCGGACCTCATGTGCGCAGCCTGCGGCGCCGCCTCCGCCTCCCACGAACACTTCTCTCATCTCTCCCTCGACCTGCCCCCGCCGCAGCAGCTGCGCCGCTTTTGGTTTCTGTTTTTGTTTCGGTGTTTCATTCTGTTTGTTGTGTTTTGTTTCGGTTTCAGGGGTGGGTGCTGGGCCTTTGCCACCCACAGGCGGTGGTGCCGGGTACTGGGTGCTGGGCCTCGCGCTGTGCTGTTTCCGCAGCAGGCAGGCAGGCGGGCGGGCTGGTTGGTTGGTTGGTTGGTCCTGCTTTGTGCTCGTCCTGCCGCCTCGCCTCTGCGCAGCACCGGTTCGACAACCTCCACTACCCTCTCTGGTACCGCCTCCAGTACCCCTGTTGCCCCCGCCGCCGCCCGCAGCTCATCGCACCGACCATCCTGCCCCGCCCAGGCGGCGGCGGCGGCAGCAGCGGCGGCGGCGGCGGCGGCAGAGCAGGGAAGCTTGTGGGTGCTGCCCGCCTGTCTCATGAGAGAGCGGTGGCACGGAAGGCGGCGGCGGCGGCGGCGGCTGGCGATGCAGCAGCGGCGGCACCAGCAGCAGCAGCAGGCGCAGCAGGCCCCTCGCAAGGGCAGCAGCAGCAGCAGCAGCAGCAGCAGCAGCAGCAGCAGCAGCAGCAGCAGCAGCAGCAGCAGCAGCAGCAGCAACAGCAGCGGCAGCTGAGCGGATTAGCGGCGGTACCAGTACCGGTACCGCCTGCCGCGCCCGAGAGTAGCGGGGAGGTGGAGCTCATAGACCTGTGCCACTCGGATTCCAGTGGGTGTACCGCTGCTGCTGCAGTACCGTTGATACAGTACCATACCGCTGCCACCGTACCACTGCTTGGCATGCCCGCACCTCTCCCTTGCCGCTGACGCTCCCCGCAGCCCTGGTTGTGTCAGCCTGCTGGCCTCCCTGCTCGCTGCCGCAGCAGCCGCCACGCCACGCCGCGCCTGCCGCTGCTGCTGCCGCCGCCTGCTCGTGCCTCGCGCCCATGCACCGTGCCGCGGCTGCCCCCGCTGCTGCTCGTGCCCCCCGCTGCTGCCTGCTGCTCATGCCGTCGCCGCCGCTGCTCATGCTGCAGCCGCTCCTGATGCCGCCCCCGCTTCTGCTGTCGCTGCCCAAGCCTCCCGCCCACCCCCCCTGCTCGCCCCTCCCCTGCCCCTCACTGCAGTGACCTTGGGCGGCGGCGGCAGCGGGATGGAAGGCCTCTCCGGCCTGGGGGGCCCCTCTGGGCTGGAAGGCGCGTCCGGGGTGCACCCGAGCGGCGGCGGCGTGGCGGCGGCGGACGACACGCAGGCACGCTGGGGGGTGGAGGCAGGAGGGTGGGCTGGGGAGCCTCCTGGCTGGGGAGCGACGGCGCGTATGTGTGCGCGCGTGTTCGTGTGTGTGTGTTTGTGCTGCTGCTGCGGCGGCGGCAGTGGTTGGCGGTGGTGGTGGCGGCGAGCTGGTGCCAACCCCTCTTCTCCACCCGTACTGCCTCTCCCCCCTCTAACCTGTACCGCAGGACACGCTGTCGTCCCCCCGCCAGCAGCTTATGAGTGCCCCGCTGCCTTCCCTGCAGCTGCTGCCGCACCTGCACCCCAGCTTCCAGCCGCAGCATCAGCAGCTGCCGCTCCCCTCTTTGCACCTAGAAGGGAAGGAGCTTGCGCAGCGGCAGCAGCGGCCGCCCGCGGCGCAGCAGCAGCAGCGGCGGCAGGGGCCGGCGGCGCCGCCGGGCGGCGGCGCAGCCGGCGGTACCACGCTACCGCCTGCAGCCTCCGGGCGGCCGCCCATACCGCCCGGCAGCAGGGCGGGGCGGGGAGCGGCCGGCGGGGGCGGCAGGGGAAGCGGCCAGCCCCCGCAGCAGGCGCAGCAGGCACAGCAGGCGCAGCAGGCGCAGCAGCAGCAGCAGCAGCGGGGCGAGGGCAGCTCACCCCCCCAGGGTGAGAGAGGCCCCTGTGCAATGCAGGTGGATGGCGGCTCCGGCAGCGGTACCGCTGCACCGGCAGGGGCAGCAGCAGCCGGCCCAGCGGCGGTGGTAGCTGCAGGCTCGGCCGGAGCGGCGTCGGCGGCCGGCGTCGGCGTCGGCGGCGGTACTGTCGGCAGTACGGGCGGTTCCGCCCCCTCCCGCTGCCCCCGCAGCTGGCAGGGTACTACCGGTGGCCGGGGGCCTCGCTGCTGGGCTGCCTCAACCGCTTCACTCAAGAGGAGCGGCTGGGGGCGGGGGAGCGGTGGGCGTGCGAGAGGTGAGGTGGTGGGGGCAGGGGGCGGGGGGACGGGCAGGTGGGAATTTTTATCTTGAAGGTTGAAGTTTAGGGGTGGGGAGGCGGGCGGCTGGGGCTCCTGCTTGAGAGGCGGGCGGCCGCTGCTGCCGTGGGGGAGGCGGGCGGTTGTGTGGGTGCGTGCGGCCTGTGTGCCTGCCTGCCTGCCTGCCTGCCTGCTGCCATAGGGAAACCACTGCCGCCCGCGCCCGCCTGCCGGGCACGCCATCCACGCCACCCACCCAGCGCTGTTTGTTTCGCGGCTGCTCCTGCCCACGCCTGGTGCCTCCCCCCTGGTGCCTCCCTCCCCCCCACACCCCACCCCACACCCTACCCACACGCTCGCAGGTGCGGCAGCGGGCAGCACGCGGTGAAGCAGCTGTCGCTGCGCCACCTGCCGCCGCTGCTGGCCTTCCACGCCAAGCGTTTTGAGCACGCTGGTGGGTAGCAGGGGAAAGGGGTGGGGGCCTGCCTGAGCGGGTGGGGGGACAGGGCGTGGCAGGGTGCTGTGTGGTTCGATGTGTGTGTCTGGGCGTGTTGTGTGTGTGTGTGTGTCTCCGTGTGTGGACCAGTGGCGTGGGTGGTGGGTGGGCGGGCCTGGCCGCTGTGCTTCCTGGGGTGGGGCGTGCAGCAGGACGGCCGGTGGTGTGGCACTTGAGGGGGAGGGCCACCACAGGTGGCCCCGTGGTATGTACATGATTGGCAGCAGCATGCCCATCTCGCACGCCGCCCGGCCCCGCCCGCCCCCCTTCCCGTACCGCAGGCGGCTTCCGGGCAGTCGCCAAGAAGCTGGACACCTACCTCAGCTTCCCGCTCAGGTGAGGGGGGAGGGGCGGTACCGCTGCAGGGCGCCGCTCGCTGGCAGCACACCTCCGCCTCCAGCCTCGGCCTTGCCCTAGCTGCTGCCCAGTGCTGCTGCCCAGTGCCGTGCCGAGGCCCACCCACCGCTGCGCCTCTGCTGCCGTGCCCACCCTTCGCTCCTCTTCACCCGTTGCCGCGCCGCCGGCACATGCAATTACGCCTCGCGCCCGCGTGTGTTGCGCCGTGCTCCCCCCACACGCCGCTGCGCCTCTGCTGCCGCGCTCGCCGCCCTCCAGCCTCTCTCCCCTCCGCTCCACACCCCACCTGGCTGCCTTTTCCTGTGGGCGGGACAGTGAGGCGTGCCCGCTGCCCTCCTCCCCACCCCCATCCCCCCATGCAGCGGCCTCGACATGCGGCCCTACCTGGCTTCCACCAAGCTGCGCAGCCGGTACCGCCTGCCGCCGCCGGGAGAGCGGCAGCCGGATGGTCGGGTGCAGCAGGCACAGCAGCCGCTTGAGAAGGCCAATGCGGGACAGCAGCAGCAGCAGCAGCAGCAGCAGGAGCAGCAGCAGCAGGAGCAGGCGGCAGCGGCGCCGCCAGCAGCAGGCGGCGCCAGCGGCAGCGGCGGCGGTACCATAGGTGGTACCTCCAGTGACGCCCGCTTCCTGTACGACCTGTACGCCGTGGTGGTGCACCGCGGGACCTTCCAGGCAGGTTCCCTGCCACCTGCGCCGCGGTGCTTCTGCTTTTGTTGTGCCTGGGAGGTTGGGAGCAAGGGCGCGATGCTCCTCTCTCCTCTCCTCTCTCCTCTCCTCTCCTCGCCTCTCCTCCCATCACTGGAACGCAGCCCGCGCCCGTCCCCGCAAGGCGGCACGCGGCGCTGACCCCCGGCGCCCATGCCGCCCATACCGCCCGTACCGCAGGGGGGCCACTACGTGGCGTACGTGCGCGCCGCCGATGGACGCTGGTACCTGTGCGACGACGCCTGGGTGACGGCGGGTGGGTGGGATACCTGTGCATTATGTCGGATCAGTATCTACCTGCTGCTGGCGCAGACCTGCCTATACCTGCTGTTGGTGTGGTGGTGTGATGTATACCTGCTGCTGCTGCTGCTGGTGGATGCCTGGTGGTGGTGGTGGTGGTGTGGCGGTGCGGCGCGGATGGCGCTGCGGGGCTGCTGGTGTGCGTCTGCTGGCGGGGGCGGTGTGGCGGTGCTGCTGGCTGGCTGCCGCCGGCTGCCGCCGGCTGCGCGCGCCTGCGCGTGCACGCCCACCCCCGGCGGCAGGCAGCAACGGCCCGTCGAGCTGGGCGCACCTGTGGGGGCTCATGTCGAGATGGGACCCAGAGAGGCTCCTGCCCCACCCTCACCTGCAAAACTGCGCCGAGGGAGGCTGCCCCCGCCCCGCTCAATCACCCACTCAATTACCCGCGTCACCTGTACCCCCTAGTCACCCACACCTGCCCCCCGCTGCAGCCGACGAGGAGGCGGTTCGCAACTGCCAGGCCTACATGCTGTTCTACGCGCAGCGCGGCCTGCTGGAGGCGCACTGAGCGGCGCCGGCGGTACTGGTTGCCCCGCTCGGGTGGAGGAGCGGAGGAGCGGGCACGGGCCTGGATAGGCTTCCCGACCCGCTAGCCCACCAGCCTGGCGGGCTGCGCCGCGGCGGCTGCCCTGCGCGGCTACACGTGCAGCACCGCGGGGCGCTGCCCGCCCAGCCGGACGCCGGGCCGGCCGGATAGATAGCAAACCTTGTGACACCTCAATCCGCTTTCATGAGAGTTCCATTCAGCCTATCGTGCGGGAAGCTAGCTCCCTTTGCCGCCTGATTCGCGGCGGCGGCCCGGCCTGGCATGTAATTTTGAGCGTGGAAAATGCAGCCATGCGTTCCTCTGAGTCTGCTGCTGCGTGGCCGGCCAGCGCAGCAATGCGGCAGCACCTTGAGCAGTGCAGGGGAGCAGGTGGCGGCGCCCCGCAGGCCGCCCCGCTGGCGGCGGCGGGGTGGCGGCGAGCTCTACAGCCTGCTGCAGCCGCTGCAGTCGGCGGCTCGCTCCTCCACGTACCCCCAGCTCTCAATTACGCGCCCCATGTGGCCCTTCTCTTCCAAAGCGGAGCTCCCGCCCGAGCAGACCGCAAGGATCACGCGGTGCGGCCTGCGTTCGCCTCCCAATCGCGACGCCGCACTGACCTGTAGGTAATTAGTGAGGCAACCGATGCGTCCGACCTGTTTCTGGGCGCAGGAGATGCGGCGTCGCGGCGGGCACCCTGCAGCACTGCCTGGCGGCCAACCCCGGCAGTCCGGGCATATGCAGCAGCCTGGAGACGCAGGTGCGAGGCGCGCCGCGGCAGGCTGACGGCAGGCGGCGACGGCAGGCCCCGCCCTTTGCCTGCCGCTCCTGCCCTTGCGTTGCCAGGTCCCTCTGGCGGGCGCAGCGGCCCTCTGGCTGCTTCCCATGGGTACACCATGCCCTCGCCTGCTTGCCCTGCTTTCTCAGTCTCCACCCGCCCCCCTGCATGCCGCCGCCGCCGCTGCGACCGCCGCCACCGCGCTTTCCTCTTGCAGGTGGTGCACTGCTATGCAGAGATAGCCTGCCCCTCCCTGGCAGCAGACCACCAGCGCTGCTTCAAGTGAGGGTGACAGCCGCCCGCTCGCCCGCCCGCCAGAGGGGCGCGTGCAGCGCCGGCCGCGGCCAGGCACCCCCCGGGCCCCACTGCTTGCCTGGCAGCCTCCCTCCCGTCGGCCCGCGTTGTTGCATGCGCTTGGGGCATGCTCCCAGGCCGGTCAGGGGTGCCCCAGGCACCCGTGCCCCAGCCCTCCTCTGCAGCACCCTACCATCTTTCTCAATTCCGGCAGGGCTCAGCTTCGCCCGCCCGAGGTTTACCCTGACCCCCCCGCTGCCTCCCCCTGCCATTGTTTATGTTTGTGCAGGCGGGTCGTCAACAGCCAGGGCAAGGAGCCGTTCAGGTGCGCCCCTGCTGCTGGTTGTGGTGGCGGTGGCAGTGGTGCTGCCACTGCCGGATCTCTCTCTGCGGGGCCCCTCCACCAGCCGACCATCAGCCCGCAGCCCGCAGCCCGCATTCCCTCATGCCCCGCGGCTGTCCCACCCTTCCCCGCCTCGCGCGTGTGCCCCGCAGCGCCTGCGACAAGGAGGTGGAAGCCATGCGGAAGTGCCTGCGGCGGTACCGCCTGTACCCCTTTGCCAGCAGCGGCAGCAGCAGCGGCGCGGGCGGCGGCGGCGGCGGCGGCGGCGGCGGGGCGCCGCGGTAGCAGGCTGCGGCTGCTTTGGCGGCGGCGGCGGCCTTCGCGGATGCCTGCCACAGGTTCCAGTGACATGTAGCTGCAGGGCGTGTAAGCAGTGCACCTAGGGTGGCGCCAAGGGCAGGCAGGCAGGCAGGCAGGCGCACCCAGCTTGGGGGGCTGGGAGGAGGGCAGTCATGGTGCCGAGATGGGCACAATGGCAAGCAAGCAGCGCTCGGAGATGGTGGGGGTGGCGCCGATGCACGGTGCGAGTGCAGGGGCAGCACAACCTGCAAAAGCAGAGCCAGAACGAAAAATGGGCCGTGTGTGTGTGTGTTACAGGGATTGGGCACATTCATGTGCTGGGGCTGAGCCCACTAACCCTGCCGGCTGTCCAGAGCGAGGAAAATCTGGCCGCTGATGGCATCCCGGGGAGGCTCCGTCTTGCAAGCGCCATGCCGGTCTGCCGGGCAGCCGTCCGCCGCCCAGATGCCGCCACGAAGGTGCCGTGAGGCAAAGTCCCAGCTAGTGTTCCGGCTGGGGTTCGAACTCGTGCCTGTGGTATCACCCACCGGCACTCATCCAGCTCCTTATTTAACGTCGCGGCCAACGACGAATAAGCGACTGACTGACTGAGAGTACAGAGAACCGGGCCCTTTAAAGGGCTGGGGACGCACAAGCCGCGCCCACTAGCTCTGGACAATATAAGTATGAAACCAACCAACAGACAGGGCGGCGGAGCGCGGGGCTGCGAGGAGCCGATCGGGCACAGCGGGCGGCAGGGAAAGCGGAGGGTGCCTGGGAGCCAGCCCAGTGACTGTCAGAGAGGTGTGAGGAGGGGAAACGGGGGGCAAAAGACAGGGGAAAGAGGGGGATCAAGGGCCAGGACCGCCAGCAGGCGGCGCAAACGGCTCCGAGACGCCACCCACCCCGGCACAGAAGCTGGGGGAGTGGCCAGGCGGGCGGGCGGGGACCGCCTCAGAGGGCAGGCGACACAGGGGGTCAAGGCTCAGGTCAGATCACACGGGAGAAGGGGGCAGCCAGCCGCCAACGAGGAGAGGGGAGAAAGGGGGACGCCAGAGAAAGCACAGAATAAGCGTGTGTGTGTGTGTGTGTGTGTGTTACAGGGATTGGGCACATTAATGTGCTGGGGCCGAACCCGCTAACCCTGCCGGCTAAATAAGCTGTGATCTGTGATCTGTGATGTTACAGAGGCAATGCCCATTAATGGGCTGGGGGCACACAAGCCGTGCCCACTAGCTCTGGACTGTACGAAAGCAATCAGCGGTGTGTGTTGTGTGTGTGTTTGTTACAGGGATTGGGCACATTAATGTGCTGGGGCCGAACCCACTAACCCTGCCGGCTGTCCAGAGCGAGGAAAATCTGGCCACCGATGGCATCCCGGGGAGGCTCCGTCTTGCAAGCGCCATGCCGGTCTGCCGGGCAGCCGTCCGCCGCCCAGATGCCGCCACGAAGGTGCCGTGAGGCAAAGTCCCAGCTAGTGTCCCGGCTGGGGTTCGAACTCGTGCCTGTGGTATCACCCACCGGCACTCATCCAGCTCCTTATTTAACGTCGCGGCCAACGACGAGCGTGTGTGTGTGTGTGTGTGTGTGTTACAGGGATTGGGCACATTAATGTGCCGGGGCCGAACCCACTAACCCTGCCGGCTGTCCAGAGCGAGGAAAATCTGGCCGCCGATGGCATCCCGGGGAGGCTCCGTCTTGCAAGCGCCATGCCGGTCTGCCGGGCAGCCGTCCGCCGCCCAGATGCCGCCACGAAGGTGCCGTGAGGCAAAGTCCCAGCTAGTGTCCCGGCTGGGGTTCGAACTCGTGCCTGTGGTATCACCCACCGGCACTCATCCAGCTCCTTATTTAACGTCGCGGCCAACGACGAGCGGGGGGTGCTTTTTTTCTCAAATTTGGACGAACCACACCCAGCGGAAAATCCATTCCGGGAGGAAAGTCTGCCCACCCTCGGGCAGGCCCACACATGAGAGCCGTAGGCCACGGGTTCGAGTCCCGTACGGAGCAGTCCGGTTTGCGGCCCAACAAGAGGCTGCGTTCGCTCCGTTAGCTCAGTCGGTTAGAGCGACGGTCTTATGATTTTCTTTTGCTTTTGTTCCAGCTGTGATCCCAGGAGGGGCCGGCCGCACGTCCTGGCCCCCCACGCACCCCATGTTCATCATTCAGGAGCACAGTTCTTACATACACCGAAAAATACACACAAATAATGGGACAACACGAGCCACCGGCCTGCCATCGAAGCAGGCTAGGGGGGCAGGGGGCAGCACCATGCCGCGCCCCCGCCTCCTCGCTGGCGGTCATTGCCTGCCTCCCCACCGTGGCACCACCACGCGGTGCTGCCTCACGCCGGCAGCACCTCGTAGTGCGTGTTGTCGATGCCGCGCATCTTCATGCCCAGAGGGGCTGCAGATGTGTGGGGAGGGGTGTGGGGGCGGGCGGGGGGGCATGGCTGAGGTCGGGCGGCCGACAACAGCTGGGGACGCGCGTGCCCAGCGCGCCCCACCACACGCCAAACGTGCGCGCCTCTGCCCACCCCTCCAAACGCGACCCCTCCAAACGCGGCTCCACACTGAGCACTGGCCCCACGCACTCCACGCGCAGCCCCACAGCCCCCCCCCCCCCCCCTCCAAAAACTGATGGGGCCGC